AAAAATGAGGAGAGGCTTAGGAACTTCCAGGACATCTTTAAACATCTTTCCAACATCTGAATTATAGGGGTACCAGAAGGGGAAGAGGAACAGCCACGAGTGGAAAACTTATTTGAACAAATAATAAAGGAGAACTTCCCCAATCTGGCAAAGAAAATAGACTTCCAGGAAGTCCAGGAAGCTCAGAGAGTCCCAAAGAAGGTGGACCCAAGAAGGAAGACACCAAGGCACATCATCATTACAATAGCCAAGATTCAGATGAAGGAGAGAATCCTAGAAGCAGCAAGAGATAAGGGGACAGTCACCTACAAAGGAGTTCCCATCAGACTGTCAGCGGATTTCTCAAAAGAGACCTTACAGGCAAGAAGGGCCTGGAAAGAAGTATTCCAAATTATGAAAGGCAAGGACTTACATCCAAGATTGCTCTATCCAGCAAAGCTTTCATTTAGAATGGAAGGGCAGATAAAGCGCTTCTCAGATAAAGTCAAGTTCAAGGAGTTCATCATCACCAAGCTCTTATTATATGAAATGTTAAAAGGAAATATCTAAGAAAAAGATAAAAAATATGAACAGTAAAATGAAAACAAATTCACAGTTATTAACAACCACACCTAAAACAAAAGCAAACAACTAGAACAGGAACAGAAGCACAGAAATGGAGATCACATGGAGGGTTAATAACAGGGGAGTGGGAGGAGGAGAAGGGAAAAGGTACAGAAAATAAGTAGCATAGATGGTAGGTAGAAAATAGAAGGGGGGGAGAATAGTATGGGAAATGTAGAAGCTAAAGAACTTATGACACATGGACATGAACTAAAGTGGGGGAATGTGGTTGGGAGGGGTGTGCAGGGTGGAAGGGAATGAAGGGGGGACTGGCACAACTGTAATAGCATAATCAATAAACTATATTAAAAAAAATAAATGCTCCAACTAACCCAGATTGATCAAGAGATCCTGACTTGCCCTTCTGCAGTTGAATCAGCACTTGACTGGATCTGCAAGCGCCAGGACACAGTAGTGACCCACCAACAGCTAATCTGTGACCCTGGATTCTCCAAGCTGTGCCTTTAGTGGAACTCCGGCCAACACTCCTGGAGTGATATTCAACATCACCTAAGAGGGGCTTTTTCTACCAACTTAAAGGGACTAATTGATAAATTTCAACTAGAGTTGCATCAGCAGTTGCAGGTCATTCAATGCTTGACCGTGTGGGATATTTTTCCAAACCCTCTGTGATAACCTCTTTGGCTAAACCCAAAACATTGGTTTGGTGGACTTAACCTGAGAACGTGGGTCTTCAGAGCCCCTGGTAACTGATTCTAATAATGCTTTGTATACTTGGATGCATTTGCAAATTATTTTCCCAGGGTCACATGAGACCAGTAAGTAGCAAGCTTTGTGGAATCCACCTATGTGGCAGTCCTAACTAAAAACAAGGGGGGGGCCCTGGTTGGTGTAGCTCAGTGGATTGAGCACAGGCCTGGGAACCAGAGGACTGCAGTTCAATTCTCAGTCAGGGCACATGCCTGGGTTGCAGGCTGGTTCCCTGCAGGCCGGTTCCCAGCAGGGGATGCATGAAAGGCAACCATACACTGACGTTCCTCTCCCTTTCTCCTTCCCCTCTAAAGATAAATAAAATCTTAAAATAAATAAATAAAAACAAGGGGGTAATTATAGGGAACTGACCCTACAAACCAAACCTGCTTGGCAATGGCGAATGTAGCCCAGCCCTGTTGGAAAACTGGCAGGCGTGAAACAGCACACGGGAGCCAGACCCACAGATCAGCTTTCCTGTGGGAAACCAGGCCTGCATTGTACTTAGGGTGCTTTGAGGCTTGCTTTTGCTAAAACTCTCTCATCATGAACTGAAGCAGCAAGCACTTACTGCGTATCTTTAGAGTAACTTCCTAAAGTCTGTGCTAATTCTCTCAAAGACTGAGTATAACCAGACTGATCACTCTTATTGTTCTCTTGCATTGGCAACATTTTTTCTTTGTTAATCTGTAAGAGGTAATCAGCAACATCCTTTCCTTTGTTATCTGTAAAAAGTAATCACCTAAAGCAAACCTTAACATAATGAATGAGAACTTCTTTGATGTTCTTATTCTTCTTTTGATGTTCTTTTATTGCTGTTTAGAAAGCAATAAAAGCCTGTCCAGGCAAGGGTTACAGCACTCTCTCACTCAGAGAGTGGCTGTGCTGTACTTTTTTCTCCACAGGACTTCTGCAGTCCGTGTGAATGTGTTCACTGCATCCACAACACGGCAGACACCCCTGGTTGGAGTCCGCATCACATGCCCCATTTACACATGTGGTTCAGGGTTGTAGTAATTCAATGGGCTCCTAATTAAGAGCCTATATCAGACTAAAAGGTTTTTGCACAATGAAGGCATCAACAAGATGGAAAGACAACTATTGAATGGGAGAAGATACAAATGATATATTCAGTAAGGGGTTAAAATCTAAACTATATAAGGGATTCATACAACTTAATACCACCACCCCTCATAAAACCCCCAAACTCCAATCCAATTAAAAAATGAACAGAGGTCCTGAATAAGAGACATTTCTTCAAAGAGGACATACAGATGACCAACAGACATGAAAAGAGGCTCAATGTCACTAATCATCAGAGAAATGCAAATCAAAACATGAGAAACAACCTCATACCCTTCAGAATGGCTGTCATCAAAAAATCAAGTGCTCACAAGGATGTGGACAAAAGGGAACTCTCATGCACTGTTGGTGGACTGCAAATTGGTGCAGCCACCATGGAAAATGGTAGGTAGATTTCCTTTAAAAACTAAAAATAGACCTGCCATATGACCCAATAATACCACTTTCTGGGTATTTATCTGAAGAAAACAAAAACAGTAATTTGGAAAGATATATCAGCCCTATGTTCATTGCAGTATTATTTATAATGGCCAAGATATGGAAGCAACATAGAGATGTCCATTGATAGATGAATAGATAGAGAAGATGTGGTATATATTCAATGGAACATTACTTAGTAATAATAAAATTTTGGGATTTGTTACAACATGGATGGACCTAAAGGGGATTAGGCCAAGTGAAATAAGCCAGACAGAAAGACAAATACTATATGATTTCACTTATATGTGGAATCTAATAAAAAAGACAAATGAATAAAAATACCCATAGATACAGAGAACAAGTTGATTGTTGACAAAGGGGAGGGGATTATGGGTGGAGAAAAAATGCTGAGTTTCTCCCAAAATATGTTCATACCATTAGAAACATTACTAAACACAAACCATGTGTGAAATTAATCGAAATAGAGACCGGTTCCTTTCATTTATTTATGATTTTTAAATTTTGTGATGGAGTAAGTTATTTGGCAAGGTGAATATGAATGTGATTAGTCCAAATTGGTCAGAATGTGAAAAGTTGTGAGAATATCTTACACAGTTCTGGTCACAATTCATAGACCCGATGTTACGATATTTTATGATGGCTGCACAGATAGAACTGCGCATTTTGGTTGAGGAATGACACTATAAGAGGCAGCATAATGTAGAGTTAAGAGTCTATGATAGACGTTATTTCCAATAACAGCTCAACCAAGGACTAGGACTGTAGGAAATTCACTTAATTTTATATTTTTCCCCTTTTAAAAAAGATTTTATTTATTTATCTTTAGAGGGGAAGGGAAGGAGAGAGGGAGAGAAATATCAATGTATGGTTGCCTCTCGTGCATCCCCTACTGGGAACTGGCCTGCAACCCAAGCATGTGCCCTGACTGGGAATTGAACCTCCATCCTTTGGTTTGCAGGCCCACACTCAATCCACTGAGCTACACCAGCCAGGGCTCACTTAATTTTCTGTGGTTCGATTTCTTTAAGTCTAAAGAGTAGGGGGATGATTGTGCAGGATATAATTTAAGGTTGGAAGCCTGCACCTGCATAGAGAGACGAATCCCTAAATCCACCCAGCTGGTTAAAACAAGTCCCATTCTTGGTTTGCCATCATGGATGGGCCAAGAGTCTTCCACTGAGTTGGTGAAGGTCTGACCATTCCGGAAGTAATTGTTCAAAGTTCTTTAGCCCTTAGAATCATCTATGGTAAATACTGCTATGTAGAGGTAGGAGCTGCTGCAAATGGAAAGTTTCAGAGTATGTATGTGCTTCAATTTCCTTTTCACTGAAGATTGTATTTATAAGATTTACCTATGTTGATATTTGCAGGGGACAAAGAAGAGACATCAAGGATGACACTCAAATTTTGGGTGTACAGCAATTGAGTGAATGGTTCGAGAAAGCCACGGAAGAGACAGATCTGGAGTGGAGATGTCTGGTGGGCACTGGGACATCGCTGAGGAAGTTGTAAATTATACAGGGTCCGGCACAAATAACACCTTTTTTATTACAAAATCATAAGTATGTAATCCTATAACATTACAATAACACACAGGTGAAATGTTCAAAATAGAACTATAAATTATTACACCCATATCATTACCCTACCAACCACACTCAAGCAGGCCTTACTTCTTCCGGACCCTTTAACTTACCCTCTTTCCCCCTTTAAGGTGCTTCTCAGGCAGCCTCACTGTAACACCGAAGAGAGCCAATTGCTAGCTGTGGACATCATATTCTGTACAGGTAAAAAGTGTCCCTTCCCGCTGTAAGCAAACAGCGTGATGGGGCTATGGTGACAATCCTCCCGGGTGGACCGCCTGCACTAGTTTACACCCAGTAACGTGTCTCTCCGTGAACAGGGTACTTCAGAATCCAGTGTCAGACGTCCTCCTCCCGCCTTGGTGGCTTCTATCTCCCGCCTGGTCCAACGCATTCAGCCTCTTGCAAGACCAGACTCAAACTCTGGGTGTTCGGCATTTCCCCACCCAAGCTTGTAGCGGGGACGTGCGCTGCCGCCACCGGGCCGCCGTCCGGGCGCGGGACTCCCGCGCTCGCCCGCCCCGCCCCGCCGAAAGCCCCACCCCCACGCTCTGCTCCGCCCCACGTCCTGGCGCGCTTCCGGGACGCAAAGCGGCGGAGCGACGTTTTTGACCCGGACTCCCCGCCCCACGGCCTGTGGTCGGTAATTAATCGGAGCAGACCCGTAGGAAAGCGGTTCGGGTACTTGGTAATTATTACTATGTAGTTGTTTTGACTTTCTGGAACTATATAGGAGGCCTTGCTGCTGCATGCTCTTCGTCCTCTGGGTCTAGGCGGGAGCTTTATGTTGCATCATAGTTGCTTTTCTAGTCGCGCGTTTTCTCCTTTTCTCGAAATAGGTTGTGAATCTTGGGGAAACCTTGAGTTCTCGAGGCAAATAGTTCGGTGCTGTTCAGTTTCCTGGAGGCTTTATTGCTTCATCTTCTTAAAAATCTCGGTAACTCAATGCCTCTTTGAACTAATGACTGGCCACCTCTTTTTATACACATTTAATAGTTTAAATGTAACGAAAGGGGTATGTGTTGCTTTCAGTCTTAGCCTCACTGCATGTCAGGAGCATTTCTTTAAGAAATTAGGAGTTGCTTTAATAAGAGTGTATATTATGTCGTAACTATGACCTGAGTTTTTCTGCATTTTGTCCTCCTTCCTCCCACAACAGCTGAGTTGGATTCCAAAGTAAGTAACCGTCTAAAAGTTTTACAGACGTTAAGTATTGAAATAGTTTGATTCTTTCAGCAAAAGGAAAAAAGCAGCACCCTTCTCCCCTAAAAGGGTCAATTAAAATTGTCGAATTAAGGGCACAGATGATATTTGCTTTCCGATTTTGTAATACATAATTTGGTTAACTGTTGAACAGGTTTTTGTAGAGCTGGTTAGTGAATTTTGCTCTTTCCTGTGGTCCTGTTACTAGAATTGAGACTTTTACAAAAATGACTGGTTCAGCACTTTTATTGTAATATATTATCCCAGTTAGTACCCACAACAGCCCCAGGAAGTTTGTACTATTGTTATTCTCATGGTACAGTGAAGGAAACTGATGCATAAGGAGGTTGGGTAGCTTGCCCACTACTTCTTAGTTACGAAGGGGTGGAACTGGAACTTGGACCCACTTCTTTCTGTTAGACAGTGTGCTATTAACCACCCTCTGATCTCGCCCCTGCAGGTGCAGACCCGGTGTAGTCTTCTGTCTGGACTGTGAGAGGGAACAATGCAGAAGGACTCTGGCCCACTGTAAGTGCATAATGAATGGGAGTGGAGTCGCCCTGAGCTTTTCAGAACCAGAGTTTTTTTCCCTTCGGAAAAGGGCTCTACGAGTAGACTGCCAGGACAGTACTGAGTATAGGATAATAAACCTGCAGGCCAGGGTTTGAGTCCCAGCTCTGGCACTGACTAGTTGTGTGGCTTCAGGCAAGTCATCTAACATCTGGGCTTCATTTTTATTTCCACAGTGACAGGATTGTTCTGTAATGATGACCTTTTAAGTCCCATTCTATGATTGTGGGGGTTTTGTTTTCACTTTTTTAAACATGTCTGACACTGATTTCTTAACTTTTTTTTTTCAGAGTGCCTTTACATTGGATTGGCTTTGGCTATGCAGCACTAGTTGCTTCTGGTGGGATCATTGGTTATGCAAAAGCTGGTATGGTTTGTATTTATTTTTAACCTATTAAGATATTCACATTGTTCCTGGTGAAGAGTGAGTCCCCAGGGTCCCCAAAGTGCAATCTTATTTGAATCAAGTTTGCTTTAGGCCCTCTAGCTTGAGTGCTGGCTTATTGTCAGTCTGGCAATTCCTGCGGAAGCCCCTCCTGCAGTGGCTCCTCCTGCACTTGCCTTTGGGTTATCGGGCTGAGTTAAGCCAGGCTTCTTATGAGTTACTTGTTTTTGCCTCTTTATCTAAAGATGCTGGGCAGGGGTGGTAGTAGATTGTTATTATCAGCAACTGCCATACCAGCCTTGACACCAGTGTGCCTGCCATCTCTGTGCTCTTCTCTTTAAGTACCAGGAAAGCTCCAGTCTCCACATACTCATTTTTTGAAGTTCCTCATTAAATTAGGCAGGGGTATGTGAGAGAGCCTGCTCATTTCTACCCCCTATCTACATCCCCACCCCAACACACACTCACATGCACACACACTAGAATTTATATATTCTTATTCTCCAAATCTTTTAACTCACTGACCCTATTTCCCCCTCCTTTCGGGATTTGCCCAAGGTCTTGTCCATGGACAGTTACAGTCCTTGGTGAGTTAACCAGGCCTATTTAGGAGCTTTCCTTCTTCCTCCTCGTCTCCTTCCCTCCCCCTTCTTTTTTTTTTTATATATATATGAGACTCATAAATGGAGAATTGCTGAGATATCACACATTTTCTGACCTGCTGTAATACTGCCACCATGTATCAGAGATCTGATAAGTGAACACATATAAAACTGTAGTATGCATTGACTACATATAGTACATGTGTAAAACATGTAGTATTCAAACATGGTATGGAATTGATTTCAGGGGTGCAGACAGCAAATACAAAGGCATCATAGTTTTTCTTCTAAAAAAACAACATAAAGGCAATAAATGAATGAAGTTCCAATTGCCATAATTTCTTGTTTCTTAAACATGCTTTTTAAGCAGTAGTTACCTGTCTTAGGTGGAAGCACCCTCCCTATTAGAGGAGAGAGATATAGTGTGTTATTACCCTGATTTCTCTGGTAATTTTATCAGCTATTTAGCTAATAGCTAATTTTATTAGCTATTTAGCTAATTTTATTAGCTATTTAGCTAATTCCCCAAAACATTTTTATCTTGACTGTGTTCAGAGTTCCCTTTGCTGTTTTCCTTTGTCAGGAAGGGAAGTCTAGTGGATTCTATTAATGAAATAAATGTGTGACATTGTAATACAGGCATGTGTTTGCTTTTTTTCAGGTAGTGTCCCATCCCTGGCTGCTGGGCTCCTCTTTGGTGGTTTAGCAGGCCTGGGCGCTTACCAGCTCTCTCAGGATCCAAGGAACATTTGGGTTTTCCTAGGTATGTCAGCTTCGCTGTCTTCCCAATTAATTATTTATTCAGAAGACTCTACCAAAGGTTTGGTGGGATGTGTCAGGTTGCTTCTGCCAAGTCCTAGAGAAGTTTTCAAGTGGGGGGTTTGGGGGTTGTGCTGGTTTTTGCTTATTTTTTATGTACAGAATAGGAAAAGGTTTTCATACCTCATGAATTTAGATTTACCCAGTGAAGTTAGTACTAAACTTGTACAAAGCAAGTATATGTCTCTTAACCATTGTGATTACCCACTAAAAACTGCTTGAGCATCACTAAAGGATGAAGTGTCTAGGTTAAGGTTTCATCAATATTTCATTTTCCCCATTTTTAAATCATTGGCCCCTTAGCAGTAAGCTAAACGTGTAAGACATAGGCCTTGCTTTCCAGAAGCCTGTAACTCAATTAGGGACATAAGAAGTGACTCTCTGGGGTTGCTGAAGTGCCCTGTGAGCAGCACAGACAGTGAGAAGTGCGGGGAAGGGAAGATTGCTTATCATCAGGGCTGCTTTTGGTACATTTTTATTGAGCTCCACCCATGTGTCAGATGGTCTGCTAAGAATGTGTATTTCTCATACATTGTCTTTACAAACCTACGCCATGAGAAAACATGCAGTTCTGGTCCTTACTGGTATGGTGGGGAGGACAAGCATGTTAACAGAGTGGTTTGTACAGTTCTGCCTAGGCTGGGAAGGGAAGTCAGTTATAGCTCATTTGGGGTGTGCTGGAGAAAGAGGAGGTGCCCAGCTCTTAGCTCTGCCTAACACCTACCTCACTAAAGCTCCAAAATGACTTTCAGACTTATGTTCCCATTTGTGATCCCTCTTCTTCGCTCTAGCAAATGACCCTCATTGCCTACCCAAAGAAGAAATAGCAGCCATCACACAGGGGCCCAGACTTCATACCATTGACAGCCAGTGGTCCTCTTTCTCTTTGCCAAGGCCCGTCCCTTCACTCTGGCTTCGGGTCTCTTCTCCCATTCCATCTTGGAGCTTTGTGCTGTCACGGATGTGTAGTCTTATATTCTACATTTCAGATGGATTCCTCCTACTGGGGTTCTGATGTGCTCACTGCACCCATAAAAAAAAGGATCTTGTGACCCTACTTCCTTCTCCAGTTGCTTCTGCCCTTTAGAAACTTCTCTAAATAAATTCACTGTACTTCCTGTCTTCGTTGCCACACCTCTCGTACATTTTCAACCCACTTCAGTCTCCATTTCTGCCCCCTTTGTTCATGGAAATAAGTAGCTTTCTCTATCTGCCAGTGACCTGTATTTTTCAAAATCTAGTGTAGTCATATTATTTGGCCTGTTATTCGCTCTCAGCACAGTACACCAATCCATTTTTTTCACTCTTGTTTTTTTTTTCCCTCATTCTCTTTCATTGACTTGGGGGGGGGGGGGGGTCATTAAGTATTAAAGTGCTTAAGGCCTGGCTTGACAATGTCCTTGAAGCCCAGGCCTTAAATTACCATCAATATACAAATGACTCCCAAGTTTTTCTCTCCTCCAAGCTTTACTCTGTTACATACAGTTGTCTGCGTGAAATCCACATGTCCCAAAGCCCAACTTCCCACCTTCGCATATGTTGTCTTCTGGTGCTCTCCATCCATTTAGGTCTTGATTGCACTCTTCCCCTCCCTCTTTCTAACTCATCAGCAAGTCCTGTCAGCACTGCTTCCAGTACATCCTAAACTGTCTCCTCCTCTATCTCCATGGCCACTGTCCTCATCCCAGTCATCCTCTCTTTCCTGGGGAAGTTTCTTATTGGTATCTGTGCGTGCTCCAGTGTCCCTGAAGTTTGTTTTCTGTGATACAGGTAGAATTCTGTTTTCAGAATGCAACGCAATCGAATGTCCTGTAAATGGCTTCTCATTGCTCTTAGGATGAAGACCACAATCTGTAAGATGGCCTTCAAGGCTCTGTATGATCTGGGCTCTCTTCCTCGCTAGTCATATCTTGAGTTCTGCACCATACTGGCCTTTTCTCCACAAGGCCTCTCAGCACATGGCCCTGCATATATTATTCCCTTTGCTTGGAATGCACTTCCTTCCCCTTTGGCTTATTAACTGCTGCTTTCAGGTCTCCACTCCATCCTCACTTCCTCAGCAAATCTTTTCACGATCTCCCTGTTATTTTTATTGCATTAATTGTACCCGTAATACAAGTATACTAAGTTTTTATGTGATTCTCATAAATTTGTTCCATCAAACTTGAAGAACTGTAGGACGGAGAGGTTTTTGATGTGTTCTCCAGCATCCAGTACAGTGTGTGGCATACATAGTAGGTATTTTAACAGATGTTGAGTGGGAAGAGCATATAGGGTGAATGGTGGGTTGGCCAAAAAGCCTGTTTAGTTTTTTCCATAAAATAAAAGTATGTCGACTATTTCCCAAGTTGGTATAACATTGATCTCAGTTTGCTCGCTACCAACTTCAACTGGTCTACCTGACCGTGGTCTACCTCGTCCAGCGAGAAATCTCCAGGGTGAAACTTTGCAAACCACTTTTGATACATTCAATCAGTGACAGCACCTTCTCCATACACTGCACAAATATTTTATGTGTTTCAGTTGCATTTTTATCTTTCTTGAAATAATATAGCATAACATGCTGAAAATGTGGTGTATGAAAATCTTCACTATTAAAATGGCTGCACAAAAATTCTCCAATTTTGATTTTTTTAATATAAATAAATGTACATTGATATGACAGCTGTCACAATACAATCTAACAATTGTTTTGAACGAAGTTAAAAGACAACTGAGCACTCCAGAGCCATCTTACAGAAAAAACCAAATGAACTTTTTGGCCAACCCAATGGAATTGTCAAGAAAAAGAGGAGGAGAAAAAAACCAAAACCGGTTTGGAAAAAATTGAGAAATTTATGTCTGAGGAGAGGTAGGAGATAAGGCGGGAGAGGCTGACAGGACCCAGGCTGCGAGGGCCTTGTATTCTAGTATTTGTGCTTCAGTATCATAGGATGTGGGTGGTCATGAAGCTCCCTGAACTTGGGAGGCATGAGATGGGATATGGCCCTTGAAAGATGGGTGGGACTTTGGTCACTTCTTTTAGTTCTTCCAAATATAAGATGTAATGAACTTTGCGTCTTTTTTCCATCAGCTACATCTGGAACCTTGGCTGGCATTATGGGAATGAGATTCTACCACTCTGGAAAATTTATGCCTGCAGGCTTAATTGCGGGTGCCAGGTACTTTCTCTTTTATTGCAGTTCTTCACCAGTATAGATTTTAGTTTAATGCCCATAATACTTTGTATACCCACAGATTTACTTTTTAAAATATACTTGATGCTGAGCATCATCTAAAATGATTTAATATATACACAAGTAGGAAAGGCTGCAAAAACAGTAGCTGATGTAATGTGAAAGTGAAATATGTTCGTTCATTCTGGAAACAATTTTCCTCTCACATCTGCTCTCTGGCCCATCCTGGCTCCTCCCTACAGAGGAAGAAGCTTTAGTGCAAAGCCTGACCGCAGCTTATTCAGTGTGGGTTCCATGTTTCTTAGTTGTGTGGGTGCCCTTTATTATTGAAAGTTTTGCTTGAAGAGCGTTTCTATTGATTCCTACTTCTAATTAACTGATTATAAAATTTAAACCAGATTTTTAAAAAACTGTATTTCTTAAGCATAATAAAGAGACCCTAAGGATAGGGGAATTTTTAAAAATCTCTTTTGAGAAATGATTAATTACAAGTATGACTTTGGTCATTTGGTCATAGTTATGATGCTGTCAAGCAAAATGCTTCATAATGTAGACCGAGCGAGGGCCAAGAGGGAATAAACTGGGAGGCTGCAGATCTACCATTAGCTCTGTGACCATGGGGAGGCCTTGATCTTTCCAGCCTTCAGTTTTCTCATCTCAGGACTATTGGCAGTAGGATTAGGAGCTCCAGCTCACATGTACTGTTTTAAGACCTCAGCGCAAGACTGACCCTTGGCAAGTTTTATCTTTGGTGTCTTGAGGGATGGAAGTTCTCTCTCTGCTTCCTCTGAAGTGGTACCTGCTCACTATGCAGTGGGGAACCCACAGAACCCTAATCCTTGAAGAAAGTAGTCAAGTGCCAGTTCTATTCTTTACCTGATGTTTTTGTGTTTTTGTTTTGTTTTGTTTTGTTTTTGACAGCTTGCTGATGGTCGCCAAACTTGGAATTAGTTTGTTCAATAGACCCCATCAGTCATAGTCATGTTCCAGCTTGGACTCTTTAAGAATTTTAAAACTACCACTACTTTTAGTATATTGAGAGAAGTAAGTGCAGTATTTTCAATATGCAGACATTTTACTTAAAAAAAAAACAAAAACCTTCAACTTTGCAGAGAGAAGTATCAGCCATTATTATTACAACCCTAAAGAGATGGGTAGCATATAACATGAGAATTTATAATACCCTCATATAATTTGATTCTTGTATGTTGATGTTATTTCTTCTTCCTGTACTTATACGTAAAGTCTCAAGGGGTAAAATGTTAGGTGTTAACATTGGGGGCCCTAAAACTCCCCACGCCCAAGAACATTGTGAAAAAAAACATCACGAGATTTGGGATACCTGTTCTTCTGCTTGTCTTAGAGCACGGACCTACTTTGAAATTATGTAAAGGAAATATTAGTAGAAATAAAGTTTAGTATAAATAATATTTTCTGTGGTGTCTTTGTTGCCAGAGCTGTCTGGAACATAGAATGAAATGTGAGTATTAGTAAAATAGAGGGAAATGAAAGTTTCTAAAATATTTTATTTAGGGATTACCCATTTCAAAAAATTGAAGGACCAAGGGAAGTTATTTGTTGCATATTGCTTCAAAGCTGGTTTTGAAATGACCTGTGGTGAGAATTTCTAAGATTAGGACTGTGTAATAAAAAAGGAAATTTTGGTTAACTAGTTAATACGTAAATGTGAACTAAAGACCTGTCTGGAACTTAAATTACCTAGGTGGGTCTCTCCTTTAGACACATTAACGGTATACTGACATTTTCAGTTCACTGCATGGATACTGGCACATTTTTCACTTGACTTTATCAGCATTAAGACTTAACTTATTCTGGACTCTTTAGTTTCCCTCTCTTTAAAAAGAAGGGGATATTTGCTACTTACTTCCAACTTAACTGGTATTGGTTAGATTTAGAAAGGAGTCCTACCCCTGGCTGATGTGGCTCCGTGGTTTGAGCCTGGGCCCGTGAACTAAAGGGTCATTGGTTTGATTCCTAGTCAGGGCACAGGCCTGGGTTGTGGCCAGGTTCACACTTTGGGGTGTGCAAGAGGCAACCACACATTGATGTTTCTCTCCCTTTTTCTCCCTCTGTTCCCATCTCTCTAAAAAAATAAATAAAATCTTAAGAAAAACAACTACTTTTATTTATTTACTTTTTCCACTAAACAGAAGTTTATTGTGAAAGTAAATGAAACATACAGACACATTAGGGCTAATGGTGACAAAAGCAATCTGATAGGTTAAGGCAAGTTTTAATGGAGATGAATTTAGAAAAGACGCAATGATGTAATTTTGTTTAAATATAGATTATAGAAAAATAACAAATTGCATTAATAACTTAACCTTAAGACAGATGGAAGCAGCACTGTGCTGAGTGACAGGAAAAATTCAATATTTACAGAATGGCAACATTAACATTTAACATTTGATTGTAGTTACTGGTGGACTAAAAGCCTTTCACTAGAAACAATAGAGAAAAGTGTACCATCATCACATTATTAAAAAAAATTTTCAGAGCAGAAGTAAAAAACCAAGGAGGTCTGTGATAAAGTAACCTTAAAACACCACTGTAAGGACCACTTAAAAGGCAATTTACTCAGGGAATATTAGGTTACTGAGTGTGTAAACATGTGAGCTGTACAACACCAAATAGGAACCAATTCGTTAGTACCTACATACACAAGATCAGCAAGGTCTTTTATGATGTACTACTGTTTGTAACGATTTAAACACACTCCTGAACTTACTATGCATAACTTCAAATATATAACATTTGTATTCTGAGATACACGATATGTTCATGAATTATAAGGCCTATAACAATGAAAGTCACACCTTCCGCATCAAATATATATATAGGTTTTAAATGCAATGACCTTATTCAGACTTAATTTTCTGCACTGACCATGTCAGTTTTTCAAACTTTAAAATATGCCATTCTATTATAAAATATATTTTTGCAAAAATTCAGAAATGTAGTAACATTTAATGAATGTGACCATGTAAAATATTTGTAAGGAGGTACCAAATGACTTAGCACTTTTTTCCAGTGTTGTATTAAAAAAAAAGTTGCATTCAGTTTCACAGTGATCCTATGTAAAAAAATGTTCTCATACTAATTCATCTCAAAAGGTTCTATTAATAGTCCTTTTGGAAAATACCATATATATCCTGTGAATTTTTTCCTATAATAATTAATGGAAGAAAATGTATTCTCTGCACAGATGAACATTTTCTAAGACTATCACCAGCATTGTTTTTACAAAAGCTTGCATTATAAAATATACATAAAAGCTACTATCTTAAATATGATTTTAATACATTATCACCTTTGTGGCTGATTCATCACTGTCTCCAGTTTACTATGCTGTTACATATGTGAAGAACCTCCAGTATCCCCTTTCTGATTGACTTAAAAACCCCTGAATAAAACAGAGGCCAGCCTGCGACTTTTTGGGGCATTTCAGTAGAATATCATCTGTGAAGAATATCTCCACAGAAACTCATGATTATAGAACAAAATCTAAAACAGATTAGGCTAGAGTTAATGCCAATTAAAAAATTTTATATTTACAAAGGAAAGAAAAGGAGCTGATTTAAAAGGACATTCTAACAACTGTAAACTTTGTTAGAAGGCTGTGGCAGACGGCTCCATGCTGCTAGGTTTTTAGCTTGTAAATAATGCAAACATATCAGCAGTAAAACTACTTAAAAAAAAAAACAAAAACAAGCCCTAGTTCTCTCATCCTCATTTTACACCACATGTCTGCCAGGGCCCATTCTTGGAGTGCGATACCCAGAGCTCTGCACATGGACTGTGACCAGAGCAACTGGTCTGTATTCTCAACTGTGCATTTCTGTTAATGCAACCAGGATCTAAGTAAGATTTTTGGACCGCTCCTTACAGCAGTGACTCATTGAGCTTTCTGTCTAATGAGACTACAGGTCTTTCTTACATACTGTTGTTAATAACTACTCATAGATCGTGAAAGGGTTAGTGTCTGATGTCACGTACTTGCAAATACCTAAAATAAAAAATTGCTCTATAATTCCTGGCATAGTCAGTGACTGACTTTTACACATAATTATGCCAGATTCATGGTTTAAGTAACAAAGACACATTTATAAACAGTTTGTTGATATGTGGTTTGATTTCAAGCCTTGGTGAATTCCATTATGATCTTTTAGGCATTCGTCATGCATAATCTTAAGGACCGTGGACAAAGAATCAAGTAGGCAGAACATTATCTTTTTGATATTTAAAAAATTGACTCTTAGGGAAATGTGTGAGAAAGCCAGCTGGTGTAGTTAGAATTACAAAGGTCGGAACACCCACATGTGGCTGGGGTGTCCTGAACAGGGAAGAGCTGTCTGTACAGTGCACATTTGCAGAGCTAACCTTTGTCATTATGCTTGTTTCCCAAAGCCCTGTGTTGTGTGAGAGCCAGGCAGAAGTGAGCATCATTATGACTCATTATCCCCAAACGTTTGAATCATGAATTGTAAGGGCTGAGGCATGGCAAAAGATTTTTCTAAATAAAAAACTAATGCTCATTCTACATTCATCAAACTTATTTTGGGGTCTAAGCTAGTGCTTGGGTAGTTGTCATGGTTGCTAGTTAAAATATAGTTACATGTATTTTATAATCCTTGTCAATATTTTACATCCTTCAAACTCAGATACATGCATGTATATGTGACATGCACAGATATGTATGCACACACAAATACTTGGCCACTGACAATTAAAGGCACTTATGATGGTATAACCACACACCATCTAAAGCTACCATCCTTCCAGGCTACTACAGATGTGATTTTGGATCACAACGGTGGTGCTGATTTTTCATCTGTCTAATGTGTCCAAAGGGCACCAATTTTGGTGTTTATTTCTAGGGGAGGGGCTCCGACATTAGACGAAGTTCCCTGAAGGTGGGAATTAGTTTAGGTCTCAAGTGCATCACCAGTGCACTTACGCACCAGCAGTCAGCTCTGACGGTTCCAAGGCCCCCCACAGATGGGGTGGGCAGAGTCTTCATTGCCAAGCAGCCCTGGCAGTGCCCTGGCCAAGTCCCTCCTTTCTTTCTCACCAAAGTTTCCTGAGCATTCACTGTCTTAAGTTTGTGACAGGTCCTAGAGAAAAAGCAAACCATAGCTTGCTCTCATGGAATCCAGTGGAAAAGACTGACATCTAAACAAGGACAACATAGAAATAAATGCACAACAGAGGCAGATATACATTACCAGCAAGACACACAAAAAAGGAGTAGTTGTTTCTGTTTAGGGCAGCACTTTTCAACCTTTTTCTTCTCATGGCACACAAACTGCTGAAGTCCTGTGGTACACCCAAAAAACTGAATTCAAATCATTTTCACATATTACAAAAATAGCACTCATTTTGATTTTTTAAAAGCCATGTTTTAATTTTAAAAAATTCTTAGTTTTCCAGCTACACAAAAATAGGCAATGGACTGAATTTGGCTCACTGACCATAGTTTGCCAACCCTTGACCTAAGCCAAAATATCTACTTGTTTTAAATATTTTGTTACGAGTTATTGAGCATCTTTTCATTTATTAACCAGTGATAATATATATTTTTGTGTGAGCTATCTGTTCATATATTTATGTTTTTGGTTTTTGTTTTTCATGTTCATCTGTGACTGTATAATAAAGATACTATACTTTGTTTTACATATTGACAATAAACTATTTTGTCATTTGACTTCATTTATGGTAATTTTATCATGCAGGAATTAAAATTTTGTATAGATAGAATCAAGTTTATCCCATTTTCTTTATGGCTTTCAGATTTTGTGTGTTCTTTAGGAAAGCATTCTGCATTTAAAAGTGTAAAATAAAATTCTCATTTCAATACTTCTACAGTTTCATTTCTTAGCTTATTTTTATTGCCTTTAGAATTTATTTTTGTGGGAATTTTGCAAATTAGGGATATGACTGGATTATTTTCTCAAAAAAAAAAAAAAGCCCATTGCCCTTAGTATTGTTTGTTGAATGGAGTATCCTTTATTCATTGCTTTGGAATGCCACCTGAACCATGTACTGAATTTCCATATTTGAGACTAATTCTGGGTTTTCTAGTCTCTTCCATAAATCTACCTCCTGGCTCAATGCCAAATTGTACTGGTCACTGTATAGTAGAACTGAATTTTCATATTTGGTAGGGCAGTGGAGTCATTGTTACTTTTCAGGCTTTTCTTTACATACTTTTCTAGATAAATCTAAAATTAGACCTTTTAATTTTAAATTTTACATGGGATTTTGATTATAGATAAATTTGGGAGGAATTCAGTTATATAATATTTATTCTTCAATCCAGGAAAGTTGCATGTGCCGTCATTTAATTTAGTTCTTTTCTTTAATGTCTTAAAGCATTATTTTAGAGCTTTATTCATGTAGTTTTTGCATT